CATCCATCATATCACCTAACTTTGCCAAAGCACGCGGTGAATATCCTGTCTGGACAATATGAGGATCTGCATAGTTTCCGTAAATCTTCCTGGTTTACCGAAGGGTTACGGTGCGGAGTTTGAGCTCAGATTAGTTGGTGCTAAATCAGTTGTTGCAGGTTTATAACTATGGGTTTTGCAACTGAATGTATAGGCAAACCCTACACAGATGAGATAGTCCCAGCCCAGCAGAGCAAACACACCTTTGGACAAACCAAAGGTGCTTGTTTTGCCCTTTCCAGTGCTCAGGTGCAGATGTGGCATTAGAACTTGGCAGCAGAAGCTGCTGCACTGCATTCTGTCCTGTGCCACCGGCACAGCTCAGGTTTGATCTCACCTCGTTAGCAATTCCAAAGCAACTCAGGGAATTCTTACTGGAAGTGGCTCTGGATGACATCTTACCCTGAACCAAACTTGTGTGGGTTCTGGTACAGTTAGACACTGCCAAACCCTGGTGCCCTCAGAGGCCTCTAATTCTGTCCTGGCCTTCACATTAATTAGCTGGTCAAAAGTCAGGTGTTGCTTGATCACTGCTTTGAAGTGACAGCTTGAGGTAAGAAAACAATTGAATACAGAATCATCAAGGCTGGAAGAGACCTTGAAGACCATCAAGTCCAACCATCCACCAGCACTACCACTGTAACCTCTAAACCACATCCTCCAGCACCAGATTTAGATGCCTCTTAGACACCTCAAGGGAGGTGTTTAAGGTTTAACATCTCCACCACCTCCCTGGGAAACATTCCAGTGCCTGAAATTGCAACCATAAATACTGAATACAGTTGGAGCAAACAGCAGAGAACTGTGAGTGATCTTCAAATTACAGCCCACCCACCCCCACCATCACAGAAGACAGGCTTTGCCTTTGCTCAAGATACCCATATCTCTGCAGAACAGCACCATGTTTTGCAGGGAATTCTGATTCACTTGGCTGTTTTAACAATGTATTTTGCAGTTTCCTCTCCATCTTTCCGTTCATTCATGTAGATTATTCATAAAGAAACACAAACTCTTTCCTGGTTTAATACATCCTGACCTGCTCCTGAAAAAGATCCTGCACATAATCTCCACATGTTATTAACTCTGAAAAATGTGCAGCAGTGACCACATCACTGTCACCTTCTGCTGCCCCAAATTAGTTCTGCTCTAAGCCTTTTAGCTTCAAGAGAAACCAGAATATAACTTGTTTGTCAAGGCTGAGGTTTATTTTACTCCATGTGTAATATCTGAGCCACTTATGGAAATGAGTAGCCTACCACTCAGCAGCTTCTTTGGTCACGAGACCTTTACATCTTTTTGCTGATAATGTATTTTCTGAAGCAAAGACAAAGGGTTTCCTGGGTGTAAGGGCAAGTTAGTACTGCAGTACTCAGTGTGCATCAGACCAGCCCAATGTAGGTCTTTCCACTGTCAGAAAATAAGAGACTCAATACAAATTCAGTAATATTAGACTAAATTTTCTATCTGTAGTTTTGTCCTGTGAGGGTGGTGAGACACTGGCACAGGTTGCCCAGGGAGGCTGTGGCTGCCCCAACCCTGGCAGTGTTCAAAGCCAGGTTGGATGAGGCCTTGAACCACTTGCTCTGGTGGGAGGTGTCCCTGCCCAGGGCAGGGGGTTGGGACTAGATGACCTTTAATGTCCATCCCACCCCCTTACCAATCTATGAATCTCCTCTTGTTTTATTCTAATATTCAGAATGCTGACAAAATAAGTCTCTTGATGAAAACGCAGTTACTTCCCCACTTTTTGTTCAGTTTCTGGACGAAATCTTCACAGCAGATCAATGAGCAATAACAGAGAAGAGCAAAATGCATGTAACAGGCATTTTTCATCCCAAGCAGCGGAACCTCAGCGATGACTGGATTGTAAGGGCTATATTTAGTCTCCACCTCACAGAGTGCAGTTAAACTTGTTCACACAAGCATAACTCACCAAGTCTACAACTTCACAGGAGGAGTCATTGACGCAGTCAGCTAGAGCAGAGCCCATTTTTAGTGGAGTTCTCTCATGCTTTGATTGAGCCCATGTGCCTGTGTAGATTCACATTAGAAACCACTTGAGATCGATTTTTCCTGGGAGATAAGGTGCACTGATAAACCAGGGGCCTTGTCAATTTGTGGTTTGATGAGTCTGGACAAACCCTAAGATTTCCCCTCCTCACTGCATTTCCTCCCGAACTGGATGTGGGTGCAGGCACAAAGGGACTGATCTCTGGGCATGCACTGAGACACTTCCCTGGCCCATGGGTTAGGGAGTACAGACAGGTTGCTGGTCATGTCAGTCTGGATCTCTGTTCAAACATGTTGGAAGAGTAACCTTTGTGCCTGTGACCAACTGGTACGTTACTCACTGTCGTTCCACCCACAGGCTTGGCACAGAGCTCTGCACCTCCATAAAACACTGTTTGCCTGTTATCAGCTTGATAAAAGCAACATGTATTTGCCCAGAGGTTTTACTGACTTCATAGTGCAAAGCTGCTTCTTCCCCTTCCTGACTCTTTGTGCTTCATCTCACGGAGTGGGAAAGACAACGACACGAACTGGCTTCACTGAGGATATTCCAGCTTGAGGCTTTCTAGAGAGCTCCACGGCATCAATGGGCCTCCAGCACACCAAACCCTCCAGAGTGAAGCAAGCCAATATCCTGATGCTAGGACTTGATTCTGCAGGAAAATCCACACTGTTGTACAAGTTCAGGTATAAAGATCATTTTATAACAATGCCAACCATTGGCTTTAACGTTGATATGATTGAAACCAGTAAAGATTTTACATTGACCTTTTGGGATGTTGGAGGACAGGAGAAAATGAGGAAGCTCTGGAGCAATTTCCTGGAGGACACAGATGCATTGCTCTATGTGGTGGATAGCTCAGATAAGCGACGGCTGGAAGAATCAAGGAGAGAATTTGAACTCATTTTAAAGAATGAATCCATCAAAAATGTGCCAGTTGTCATGTTAGCCAACAAGCAGGATTTGCCTGGAGCTTTGAACGCTGAGGAGATCACCCTGAGGTTCAAGATGAAGAAGTACTGCAGTGACAGAAATTGGTATGTACAGCCCTGTTGTGCCCTCACAGGAGAAGGGTTGGCAGAAGCTCTCCAGAGAGTGACCACGTTTGCCAAGCAGTACAGCAGATCAAAGGAGACTTTTACAACCTTGAAGGAAACTTAGACACTTTAAGGGCTTCTATCACCAGATTCTGATGAATGTTAACACATTTTGTTGGACAGACTAAACCTGGAAATTCTGGAGAACTTTTATAAGTAAATATTTATAAAGGACTTGGACAATATTCAATTCTACTATTGTACCTGCAGGTGCATCTGAGATGTGACTCTGCAGCACGTTCTTATAGTCTTTTATTTATTTGGGGTTATTCAGCTCAAAAGTGGCAGTTGACTGATGAGAAAGGTGGAGTTGAGCTTCTGCATTTAAGCACCTGGAAACAAGACAGGTGAGAAATGTTTAAATCGCTCAAAGCAAGTAATTCTGACAAGGTGTTGAGCAACCATAAAGTCCTGCTTTGTAATAAATGCTCTGTGGATGTATTTCTTATTAAAAATAGAGCTGTTTTAGAGCTTAAACTCTTAATTATGTACAAGAGAACATGTTGGTTATTGTTGCACTCTAGAAACAATTACTCCAAACATTAACAAACAGGATCTGCTCCTCATCCAGCCATGGACGGAGATGGGATCCAGTGTTGCCTCTATCCTCATTGTCCCAGGATTTGCTTTCCTTGTTCACTGCTGGATTGCTCTCCTTAGCCAAGAGCAGAGGGAGGGAGGCCAACATGGGATCAGTCCAGTGCTGAATCCCATTGGTTTTGAGGTGGGAAAGGAATGGGGGAATTGGCTCCTTGGTCATTTTTAATAGATCTTGATGGATCCTGTCCTGCTTAGACTGAAGCCACGTGAAATATTGTTACTGGTTAATTTAGATTATATTTGACATAACTAATCCCATTACTAAAGTCTGTAGGAAAAAATTCCAAAGGAAATTTCTGTGTAGATTTCCTGATGAAGGAGGGAATTAGTATTCTGAATCACAGCAATGAAGGACTGATAAATAGAAGATTAATTGAACTGTATCAAACATGAGAAACAGTTTCAGGCTGAGAAGTTAACAGAGCCTGTTCTTTTATAAGCAAAGGAAAAGAGACCATCAAATTGTTGGTCATCCCAGAAAAATCCAGCCTGATTCCTTGTGCCTCCTTGGGCAGTGTCTGCACAGGTGGGATGCTCCAGTAGTTAGGATGTTTGCTTAGATACCTGGATATTTTTTTCCTCTACATCTACTACAATCTTTGACCATGAATAAGTCATTTGACCACTCTGTGCCTCAGGAAAATGAACTTCCCAGTTTTTCTGTGGAAAAGCTGTGGCAGGGGGGATCCTAGTGCAACTTTTTTTTTGGTTATAAAATGAAGTAATTGATTTTATAATGAAGTAATTTGATTCCAAGTAATTAATGCAGGAAATTTCTGTTTCAGTGTTACTAACAATCAGGCAGGAAATTCAAGTTATAGGAGTGTGAAGCAGCAGTCAAATCACCTGGACATACCCTGTTGTCTCATGTATATATTATTCAAAGAGCAAAGAAATCACCAGGTGAATTTGCTGAAATAGTAAACAAAGAGAAGTTTCTCAACAGGAGCTGTTATTAATACTGAGACTAATCACCAGGGGCTAAAGCCTGAGTCATGTTGGGATTCCATTGCTAAAAGGAGAGCAGGTTTCTAGGCTTATTGCCTGGTCTGATTTAGGCTCAATAGAAAATATCTTCTGTCCTCCAAAAATAGTCTCCAACAATGGGAACATTAGTTTGCTAAACTAAGCAACACAATGGTAAAAAATGTGATATTTATATCAATACATCTGTAAGTGTTTGCATGTCTATGGTGTATACTGGATTCTCTTCATCTAACCATGTGTCTGTTACAAACCTGAATCCAGTTCTGCGGCCTCAGGAATTCCTCAGGGAGAAACACTCCTGAGAGGTTTAATGAGGGTGCTCCAGGGTCTTTAATTAGGCAAGAAGCAAGTTCTGAAGAGAGAAATAAAGCAGTATAATAGAGCAGCTCATCTAGATAAAAATGAGAAGAAGCTTTCAGGCACACAGGCCTTGCTCCAGGTGATCAAATTAGAGCAAATGGCACATCAGCCTGACGAAATCTTTCACATTAGGCTTCAAAGGAAAGAAATAAACTCTATTGCATTCACTTTGCAGAATATGAAGGATTTTAAAATTGAATTTTCTAAGAGCCTGGTTTCCCAGGGAAGTGAAGGGCCATTATATCTGCCCATGGAGACCCCCAAGATCTTGGAACCATTTTTAGGCTTTAAAATAAACATCAATCAAGCTGGCTGCAGGCACAGGTTCTCAAAGGAGGTATATGCCTGAAAGTTTAATTAAAAACCTCAGTGAGACAGAGAAAAGTGACCACACGAGTGTCCCTGGTGAAGACAAGGCTAAGAAGGTACAAAAGACTAATCCCCACAGGGAAAAATGTTCCATTTTTGCTGCAGGAGAGCCAAGAAGAGGACATCAATCTACACATCCCAGACTTAATTAGCTGCTCTGCCCCAGGAGCTGGTTGGGTTTATTATTTATTTTTTTATTTTATTATTTACATTTTTATAGGTTACTCAAAACAATTTTAGGGTTCGAGGTGCTTTGAGAAGCTGAAAAATCAGAATATGAGGAGTGTTGCCCCTTGAGGCAGTGGAACTGCAGTCTGTGAGCTGAAAAATTTGCATGGGATGAAAGGCCTTGAAGAGTTTGGTACAGCTGTTTATTTTGCACCAGGTTTGGGAATCTTTTTTCCTTACCTCACCCTGGTGTTTAATGCATTTTTTTCTGGCTGGATTCTGGCAGTTTTGCGCAACTGCAAACAAGTGGCAGAAGCATTGCAGATGTGTTGTAGATAAAGTACTCGAGTTCGACAGTGTCTACTCATGTTTCTTACACAGTTTGCTGTACTTGTTTGTTTCTGCTGACAGAAGAGTTATCCATGGTGAAACAAGTGACACACACCTGGGACTGGGAAACACACAGGGAAGGATCTGTGGAGCCTGAGGCATGCTGAACCCTGTGCCCTCTCAATGACATGATCCACCAGGACGTGTTTGGATGGGACAACTTAAAACTTGGCAAATCCAGAGGATGGGGACATGTCCTTTTGGCCATTCATGGATCAGATCACTGTGGTATAAAGTCATGATGGGCTTTCTGAGCTTTGAAATAATTCATGGAGCTCACTGAACATAGTTCCACAGGGATGAAATGCTGTTTTAAGGGAAGATGTGTAGCAGCAGAAGAAGCAAATTTGGAGAGTAACACTCCCTCCTCCATTGCCTTGGGAGATGACTCTCCCAAAAGCTGAGCACTCTGCAGGATCAAAGTCCCAGGAGTGCAGGACAATGCTTTTCAATAGCAGGTAATGCAGCACTGGGTGTTACTCCAAATGTCTCTGTGCTGTCTCCTCCCCATTCCTGACCTGCACCAAAGGAAAGACTTGCATGTATCAAACAAGTTCTAAGACTACTGCAAAGGGGAACAACAATACTTTGAAGTGCTCTGTGCACATTACATGGCTTAAATCAGACTTTCTTCTCAAAGCGAATGATCCATGCTGAGCTCTGTGCTGCTACAATTAGGCTTCTTCCACTTATAATTAGCTGAAGTATTCCTATTTGGCACAAGCCTAAGGATTCTGGACTTCTGTCTCACCAGATCCCACAGCCTGCATTAGCCAAACCTCTGTAATTTAGGATGTGTACTCTGGAGTGTAGAAGCTCATACTGCAGGGACCATTTGTAAATCATAGAATCATAGATTCTATGTAAATCCACAAACAGTAACAAGTCCAAACGTATCTGATTTCGAAGCCATGGCATTTTAGCAGATTGTGCATTACCTTGTGTTTCCCTTTCTACAATATTCAGGTCTTTTGCTGAGATAAATGTGCTTGTACCACTGCTGCTCATCCACAATGTGTTTTCAGTGTGGTTCTCCCCAACACAGCACTAGTCTGGGCTGTCACCCACCTCCTCTCACCCTCTGTCACCCCTGTGTCCCCTCCCCAGCTCCACATTTACACGTTCAGGTCACTGCACAGCACAGCTCACTCCCTCTCCTTGTCCTTCACCAGGTATGACAGTGGCAGTGCCTGTTTGCATGGTCTTTTGTTCAGATGTTCATTGGTGGTTTTGTGCTTGTTCTCATGCCACTCCTTGTGCTTGGAATTACCTAAACACACTTACAAACCCATTTCATTGTTTTCCTTCAGGTCCTTCCTTAAAGTACTGCTTTCCCAAGATGTGTGCAAAGCTCCAGACAGTAGCTCTTAGGGTTTTATGACCAGACCTTGGCCCATAACTTTTGATAAGGAATTTTAATTGTTTGCTTGTTCTCCCCATATTTATTCATCTATTCCCCTTTAGTCTAAGAAAGTTCTTTCTTGGTGCAAAGATCATCCTATTGTTCTGTGTTGCTATATTGCCTGACTGATGAGAAGAGCTGTTACACCTTATATTACTGCTATAAGTTGCCTTAACCTGGTGAAACATCTGCTATAATGAGTAATTTTGTGAGTTTAATAAACCATTTAGCTCTGAAACCTGAGCCATGTGTATTGTTCCTTTTTTTAGCAGATATAGTTGGGACCTGAAGCAACAATTTCATTGATCCAGACAAAGGCTAATCTCCTTTGCAATTCTGCTTGGCTGTTAAAGGGTAACTGTGCCTTAATCGATAGTTTGCAGTTACTTTATCTACAGCACACACATTAATCACTGAAGAATGTTTGTCTCTCAGCCTTCCCTTAACTGATCCAGAAGTCCGAGAAGTTCTATTTCATTTAGGACCATCACAGATTCCTGTGAAAATCCCTCAAGTCATTTGGATGCAAAATGAAACACAAACAGCTTAATTAATACAGGATAAATTAATGTCTGTCACCTCATCAGGAGGGTCTCATGCCCAGAACCCTTTGCTGGGTGCCATCAGCTATTCCCAATGGCTTTGGACTGAATTCACATGGTTTTCCCTTTGTTGAGGATTTACAATATGAGCTTTAATATATCTAAAATGTATAGCTGGTCACATGAATGTTTTTGTGGTCATCAGTTATTTACGTGTTGAGTGCATACAAACCCAGCTTGAATTGC